CAGCCATGTTGGATGGTGTTCACTATAGGTGGTTTGTAATCATTCCTAAGGGAATAAGTGGCAGCCATGTTGGATGATGTTCACTATAGGTGGCTTGTAATCATTCCTAAGGGAATAAAAGTGGCAGCCATGTTGGATGGTGTTCACTATAGGTGGTTTGTAATCATTCCTAAGAGAATAAAAATGGCAGCCATTATGGATGGTGTTCACTATAGGTGGCTTGTAATCATTCCTAAGAGAATAAAAGTGGCAGCCATTATGGATGGTGTTAACTATAGGTGGTTTGTAATCATTCCTAAGGGAATAAAAGTGGCAGCCACGTTAGATGATGTTCACTATAGGTGGTTTGTAGTCATTCCTAAGAGAGTAAAAGTGGCAGCCATGTTGGGTGATGTTCACTATACAGTGTAGGTGGTTTGGAATCATTTGTCTTGTGTTTGCAATCTTGTTGGCCTTCATTTCAAATATATATTATAATTCTTAGGAAGTTTTTATTGTGAAATATCTATTTTGTCAAACAAACCTTGCCATGAGTTCTGTTTAATGATCCATGTACTAATCTTTGGATAATACTTTACAAACAGTGACTTGCGTCATTGCGTGACCTCTCATACAACTTAAAAATAATGCAAATAATAAATTACGTCATTCCATGCATGACCTCTCAAAGTGCAGCCATTATATCCTCAATGCATTGGTGATTTTACTAGCTCTGATAAAACAATTTAAAAAAAACAATAGACATAACACTATTTTGAACGATTTAGTGTAAAATAAATCTACAAATTTAGTTACTGTTTCACAGAATGCAGATAAAGGACAAAAATTGGTTGTACAATGTATTTTGTATGTTCTAATGATTTTGATAAATGAACACTATACTCTTCCCTATCATTTGGAATGGCATATGACTTGAAAGATAAGGCACTTGATATATTATTTGGAACTTTCATTGTCTAGCAACCAATAAGAAACAGGTTTTTTTGAATATAAAATCCTGAGACTGAATCTTGAAACACATACATGAACTGTAAAGTAAAAGTAGTTTTTCAGCTTTTTTTCTTGGTGCATTTTTGGTGCATTTTATTTCCCTGTACAGAATAATAGAACAAAATAATAATGCTTACTGTTGTTTGAGTGGGTTTGTCTAGCTGCCTTTTTCTTAAAAAGACTTATGTAAACACCTTAAAAAGTCCTGATTACATAGTGATTCTGATCAAGTCTATTTAATGTCTTAACTGTATAATTTATGTTTGTTGTCTTTAGGTCCCAATGCTGGTGAAATGATGATGAGTGTGTTTTGGTATTACAGACCAGAACAAACTGAAGTTGGTAGACTGCCACATGTCCATGGAGAGGTGAGTAGCATTTGTAACTGGTTTGTGTGATAATGTCCAATTAGAGCAAAGAAACCTGCCTAAATAGACCTCTTTACCTTGGGCGTAAGGTTTTCTCATTTCATATCGTGTGTCATTCGCTTGAGAATAAGATTTGTTGTTTCACTTGTATCCATATTCATGTGTCTTCTCACGTGCAACCGTTAAACAAAGAAATGATACTCTAGGGAATGACACGTGGTCTTGAGAATAAGATTCTTTGTTTGAGTTGTATCCATATTCATGTGTCTTCTCACGTGCAACCATTAAACACACAAATGATACTGAAATGACACGTCGTCTGAAATGCCAAGGTTAAGAGGTCTATTTGCAAAAATGCAAATATTTTATTTGTTCGTTAATATATTCAATTGTGCAAGATATTTATTGATATTTTTAAGCTAAAAAAATGCCCTGAACATTAATTTGCATCAATTTTTAAATCTCTTTTGATATATACTGCAGCATAAAATTCATTTTTAACTGATATAGTGTCTTTTGTGTCTACAGAAAGTAATTCATTACAAAGAGGAAAAACTATACAATTCAGATCTAAAATAGAAAAAAAAAAAAAAAAAAAAAAAGAGATCTCTCTCTCACTATTTTGATAATATTTTTTGTTTTCTTTAAATTGGGTAGCATATCGCTTTTCACCACTAGCTTTTTGAGCCCTCCCGACATCATCTGAATTGATTTTGTTTGATGTGTTCTCTCCTATATATGCTGCCAGGGTTTTATTCAGGTTCTCTGGTTTTACGACATTAAAAATCAACTTGTGATTTGATTGTTGTGTGCATAGAACATTGAGTGTAGCGGCAGTGTGTGTGAGTTAACAACTAGACACTTAAATTATTTTTTCTTCTTCTTTCAAGATGGAGGTAATGGCATCTAGGCATAAAGATGACAACAGTGTAGCCTGTATCGTTGATAAGTGTTATGTCCTCAGCTATCCAGAGTATTGCAGGTAAGATGACCACATCAAGCAAAGAAGACTTAGCGGGGGTAGATTTGGGGACAGCCGAAGCAACCCTCGCCTTTGTTGTATCCTAAGTTTTTGTGTCTGTGGTAGTATTTTGGATTTTAGCCATGTCCTGACTTTGATCAGCCCAGAGGTTGTTTCAGTGTTCTATCTGTGAGTTGGCCGTGCCCTGACTTAGATCATCCCAGAGGTTGTTTCAGTGTTCTATCTGTGAGTTGGCCGTGCCCTGACATAGGTCAGCCCAGAGGTTGTTTCAGTGTTCTATCTGTGAGTTAGCCATGCCCTGACTTAGATCATCCCAGAGGTTGTTTCAGAGTTCAATCAAAGTGATGTTTTGTCTATCTTTCAGATATCGAGCCCAGAACAGACTATTCCAAGAGTCTCGGAGTGTACCATTATCTCCTGTACCACCGGGTGAATCTACCAAGCCTGGCTCTGTCCCTCCACCCAATACAGATCCATCATTGGTCTTCTTTTGTCGTCAAATTTACGACCACAGAATGGGGAGAATTATTAAGAACCCGTGGTACTAGACCACAGCAGATTTCATATCAGTTGGAAAACTGTCACTCTGAAATGGTGTCCTGATCCAGGGAATGTGATTGGATGGCGCACGTTTTTGTTGCATTTTGATTGGCTCAGTGCGTAAACCATTTGAAAGTCATTGGATGGCGCACTTTTTGTCTTATTTTAATTGGTTGAAGGCTTGAAGGCGGAAACCATTTGAGAGTCATTGAATGGCACGCTTTTTGTTGCATTTTGATTGGCTCAATTGCTTTTGATAAGTCTCCTAATGGCACGTATTTTAATTGGTTGAGTGTAGAAGCCCTTCGAGAGTCATTGGATGGCGCACATTTCGTCGCCGGAACCATTTTAGAGTCACGGTACAATTTCCATCTACACCACGAAATCTGTTTTTTTGTGGCAGATTCTGCTAACAAAATTATCAGCGTATACTTCCTGTCTTATCACTAAAGGCGACTATGATATTCTTTAATGAACTCAGTTCGTTGAGTTTGTTTTCATTCACTTTAGAGGTTTTTCATCGTTACTCAAATTTAGCGGATTAAAGTAGCAAATATCATAGTGATAGAATAGTTTGCAAATAATAACGGGCGTTTTCTCGAAGTATTCGTTGTGACTTTTGATGAAAACTGGGAAGTGTTAGTCGTAGAAAATTCGGAAATGTAAAAGTTTTAACTTTACTACTTAAACTAGTAGTAGAGTGAAGGCATTTAACCCGTGAAATAAAAGTTATTAGTCAAAATAAAACAATGGAAATAAGGTCCGACTAAAGTGTGTTAGTCTAATATCTATTGCACGGGTTTAATGACTTCGTTCTAACTAAATTTTTAAAACTTAGTTAAAGTAGTGGTCAAATTAGATAAATCTTTAACCAGTTGTGTTTGGTGAAGAGGTAGCTGGACCACAAGCACAGTAAGGGTTTGGAATTATTCCTTACAGCTCTGACTTTTCTATTTATTAAGATGTGGTTGAATGACGCAGTTAAGTTTTTGAACATTCACTTTACATCTAAGTTTAAGAATTTCATCGGATTTTACCTCTATCTCCGTCTATCTGGAGAATGCCGGTATCCAGTTTCACTAAACCTGTGAATCGTACGGCAATTTTAAAACGGTTATCTTGAAAATACTGAATATTGTTACTGAATAATACTAAATTTAAGGAAAAGCAAAGAAAAGAGTATCAGTTTTCATAGCTTATTGGATACGTTATACTATTTTTTTAACCTGGCATTTTAGCTTTAGAATCGTACCTTTCCTGGAAGCATTCAGTATTCGTGAAACAATCTTTTGGAAATTGCTACATATTACTCAGTAGTACACCCTTTTATAACTGCACGACCATATCAGCCTAAAGACGTCTTAGTTTTTCGCCCGTTGAAAAATAACTACAAACTCTTTGTTTGACTAAAGCCAGAAACTTATATTTCTGGAATTTTTGCTGGTTGTCTTGGTCGTGTGATTATGAAGGTGGAAATAGCTGCTTTCAGTCTTTTCGACTCTTGCGTTTCATTAGCACCGGTTTACCGATATAACTGCTCTCTCAAGAGGCCATGAATTAGTGTCACTTTTTTGTTGAAATTTATTAACCACAATGAGATAAAGATCGATAAGATGTGTTCAACTTAGTAAAACTGAAGTTGGGAATTAATATAATAGTGTAATACTCTTGTAAAACTTAGTTACAATTACGATATTTTGAGTTGCATAGTTGAGTACTCTGAAATATTGTCGGGTGCTGGGGCGACTTGATTTAACCTGTCAAATCTAAAAAACGAGTCCTCGTGATAGATAGCTAAAAGACGAGTAGCCGTGTCCTCCTTTACATAACTACGTGTTATAATTGGATGGAACCGAGAAAAACGAGAAACCATTTCAATGTCAAACTTTCTGTCAACTGTTCTACCGTCGAATGCTACACAGGTTACATCTAGTCGCTCTTTTTTATGCATCTATTTAAATTTGACCAGCCACAAACGATTAATAAAGGCTGTAAATTATTCATATAGAATTAGGATAAATTTTAGACAAAATTAGTTTATTAGTAAAACAAAATAGCAAAAAAAAAAAAAACCAACGTAAAAAACGTTTGTGGTAGACTAAATCTCGTTTTACTCGCGTTGGGGAAAGACGAAAAAATTAAATAAGAACAGTCCCCTGTTTTAGAGTACGAATTTGATAAAACTTTAAAACTCCTTGCCACAGAAGTTTAATGTTTTCTATTAGATGTATTCATTTCTGTGGTATATTTTGTACAGTGTTCGAGATGGGTGTTGTGGTTATGATATTCTCAAATAAAACGTTTTGCAAATGTTGTAATTATTCTTTTTGGATCCAGAATAGACCTTTCCCGAATTCGCTTGGATGACCACAAAACAATGGTTTAAAGTCGAGACTGAACTCGATTCTTTTATTCATCAAGTTCAACCTCAACTTCAAACCATTGTTTCGTGATCAGTCAAGTGAATTCAGGAAAGGTCTATTGCTACAAGTTTTACAACCATTCTCAATCACATGCGCACTGTCACAACAAAGAAGGTTTCGGTGGACAAAAACACAAAGCTATAAGGGCACGTGTTATCAAAACCTTTGCAACAGAAGCAATTGCTAGAGCAGTGCGTGATTGAGAATGGCTGCGAAAGAAGTGCAACCAATCTTTCAAGCAAACACTGCTCCCTTTTGCCAGAACCGACATTGTCTTGGGGGAGTGGGGTCGTTGTAAGAGAACTTACTGTGTTAAATCAAAATATCCTTACGAACTCCAAAACTCTTAACCATTTTGTCTAAGATTGATGCATCTAGTGAAACAATATTTGTGGGATGTTCATACATTACATTATTGCACTGGTAGAAAGCAATGATGGAGGTACAGGTATTTAACACATTTGCAAAAAGGATTCTCCCTTACAGAATTAAGAATGTGCAGTTCCAGAAATTATCCACCTTCCCCCCCTCCCCACTGGAGGAATTTTTTTAAAGACCCCCCTCCCCCACACCCAAAAATTTCAAATTCCTCTGTGGGGGGTATGGATAATTTCTTGACCTACACAATACACCAACCAACATTTATAATAATGTAAATTTATTTCACATTTTTAAAACATTTGTAATATTCCAATTCAAAATAAAATACAAGCATTAACAGCCAACTGCATGATTTACAGACTGAGAAAATAGTTGATAATTTGTTACATATCATGTTTGTTGTTGATGGTAACATGACTGATAATGATGCTAAAGATCTGAATAGTAGACTAGTGGATGTTTTACAACATGTATTAATGACTGTTATAATTGAGATGTAATAATGGCTGGCTGTCTATCCTCTGGTATATTTGCCCCAGATGTGAAGCATGAAGACTGATGCAATAAATAACAAACTCATTACTAATACTGGAACTGGTCCACTGAAAGAAAAAAAACATTGGGATTAAAATGTGTCATTACAGTCCATGAAAAAGGTGACGGGTGAATTGATATGAGCTGTGACTCTTGGTTTCATGTAGTGTGAATGGTAAACCATCTTAGTGTTAAGCCAGGTCAACTTGTGTATGTACTGGTGGCAAAGAATGGGAAGCCATTCCAGTGTTATTGGCAGGTGAATCAATATGAGCTGTGACTCTTGGTTTCATGTAGTGAAGAATGGGAAGCCATTTAAGCATTATGGCAGGTCAACCTGTGTTGGTACTGTTGCCTTTGATTTCATATGATAAAGAATGGGAAGCCATGTCAGTGTTATGGCAGGTCAACCTGTATTGGTACTGTTGCCTTTGATTTCATATGATAAAGAATGGGAAGCCATGTCAGTGTTATGTACTGTTCTGTATGTACTGATGCCCTTCATTATATATGGTTAAGGATGGGAAGCCATTTTAGTGTTATCGCAAGTCAACATGTGTACTGTATGTACTGTTGTTTTTGATTTCATGAGCTAAAGAATGAAAAGCTATTTCAGTGTTGATTGGCGCTTGCACAACCAAAAGCCGCAGTGGGCATGTATCTAAACAAGAATAATTCAGGTATTTTAAATGGTTTCATCCACTATGTGAACACTAAATATCTCAACAACAACATCTGTGTTATTGACAAAAACAATGCTAAGAAATATAAGTCATTCCAGCTATTTTTGTATCTTGGAATGACCTATCTCTTACTCTTATCCCCTATCACTTATTACCTATCGCCGTTCCCAACCTTATTTGAAATAGCTGTATGTAACATGTAACATTTGGGTGTTATCTTAAGTATTTCTATGGCATCTTTTGACCATAGAGTGAATAAGTGTAAGCCATTCCAAGGTCAATACAGAGTGTTTTATCTATAGTACTGCAATTCAACCTTGCTTGTGGTTTTGTCATGCAAAAAATGTACTTGGTTTAAAAGTAGCTCTGAATGGTGTTATGTTCAAAGCTTCTAAACTTACGGATACACAAAGGATAGGAAAGAGTTATTTTATTATATTAATGTAAGATATGTAACCTAACTTACACTTTTAGTCCTGGAGAGTCTTCTGTATAAAATCTCCACATGCCGCTACTGCCACYGGATGCTGCTCTGATGCTTCTGCCTGATGATGATGCACCACCTTTCCTACATGACAAAATCAATGACATATGTATATGTTTATGTATCACTTTGATTGGTCAAAATATTGGGATACATAGTATAAGAATGCTTGGAGCCCCAAGTTGACTACAAATCAAGATCCCATGTTGTGAAATTAATATTTTTTACTTATATTGCCCATGTTTCATAAAAATTTGTTCACATGCATATCATAATAATTAAAATTCTTGTTTAACTCTTGATTCTGATTCAGGATTCAATCAAGCTTCCTCATTGAATCCACTAGACTTTTCAAGGTTTTGTTTGTCTTTCCATGTATCTAACGAAGACTGGTAGTAATAATAGTCTTATGGTGTATGGGAATGTTGGACTTAATTTGGGGATGAGATCAAAAACTTTCATCTTTCCACATCCCAAAATTTAGTCCCAGAATCCTTAATTGTTTTTGAATAAAAAATTGGAAATGAAAAGAAAAAGTTGGATAAAAAATTCTCAAAGCTTTCTTTACTATATTATCCTGGTCTTTCATAGGAAATTTTTGTAGTAAAGGAAAGTTTTGCTACTAGACAAACAAGCTAAAAATTAGGAACTGAAAACAGCTATAGCGTATAATGAATAGCATTATTATTTTTCCATCAAAAGAAAATATAATCTAAGATTCGTAAAATTTTTCCAAAAATCTTCACGACACACAAATACACTATATTGAAATTATAATCTTTGCTGTTCTCACAGAAACCCACGCACTTCATAACTAAACTATAACTATTATCAATATTCTATGATAAACTATAGCAAATATTAAGATAAAGGAATAAATAGAAAATTTTAAAATACTAGAAGCAAAATTCGAACCTTTGTCTAACTTGACTACCGGAGCCTCTCGAAGCAACTGCCTTTGAAGGCGCTCTTCCAGCTCCCACATTTGTCGACGATGGAGATTTTTCAACCTAAACGATAACCAATACATGGCATTTAATATTTTCGGGCTCATTTGGGATTAAAAGTGATATTTTCGGGTGTTTTTAGGAGATATTTCAACTCACCATTTTCACTGACGTGTTCTTTAGATTCACAAAGAGAAAAAGATCGAGTGACGTCACTCAGATACCCAGCATGCTTCACGACAAATCAATATATCTTTACCAGTTTTTTTCGTCCTTTCAGACCACAGGAAACCCAGCAAATTTGAAAAATATCGTTTCTTTGTTATTCTCTTTTCTTTTTCTCTTCTTGTTGAAGTTTTTTCAGGCCTTTTTTTTCTCGTGATAGCTATATCTCTCGATTAGGTGTCTTACCATTTAGTCTCCTTCTTTTTCTCAGCTTCTTATTCTCTTTCTGAGTTTTCGTTCTCTGTTTCATTTTAGATACCCTGGGCCGAGAGGGTTTTTGAAAATTCTCTGCTTGCAGGGAACATTTTAAAGGGTTTCTTTTAATTTTTTGGCAGATACTTCTCTCTAGAGTCGAACAAATATGTTTTTGTTTGTGTTGTTCTTTCACACATCTTAACTTTGATTTTTGATATGCTTCGTCTATTTCTGTTTCCGTTTTTCGTTTTGTGCTTATTTATTATTATTATTATTATTATTATTATTATTATTATTATTATTATTATTATTTGTTTCATTATCGTTTGTCCGCTTGCTTGTTTATTTTTTCGTTCTCATTTATTTGTTGCTTCCTTCTCATTTGGATACCGTTTTCATTCACTCTTATCTAAAGCCCTTATGTCACTATGTCATTACATATTATCATATATATTGTTGATGTCACAGTACGAAGAACTGTGATACTCCACCTCCATAAATGGCTATGTGAGGGCACCCCCCCCCCGGGCCCCCCCCCCCCCCCCCTTCACCGCCTATGGCTATTTACAATACTCTTTTCTTCACGTGTTTCCTGTTTCCCTACAAAAATATGTGCTCATAAATTGATATGAGAAAAATATAGGAAAGCCTGAACGAATCATACCGTACCAGGATCACATTTCCGTTGTTTCTGGCTAATTTTTTCTTCCATTATTTTTTATTGCATTTCAATAAGTATTCTCATTTTTAATCGTTAATATTAACAATGAGTTTCCTGCCCAATTAAAGTCTCGTATATTCAAATAGACTCCCAAAAAAGCAAAACAAGCTACGTCAAAGCTGGAATCCTTCGAACAATGCTATGCAAAGTCAAGCACGGTTTTACGCGTTACGTCACGCCAARACAGTGGGAGTCAACCAAGCTTGCCTTTGAGTATAACTCATATACGAGTGACAAGCTAACTAAAGACCTCTGCAGACTTTATTCAACTCGATAATGGCTTCAGGTAAGTCTTTCGCTCTGAGAAAATAGTTATCCTCTTAAAATTATGAAGTTCTTGCAAAAAACTAGTTTAATATAGAAACATTTTTTTATTTTTTATTTTCAAAGCAAGCGTTCAAGGCTATGATGAAGTAAGTAATCCCGGTCAGTGTCGTATCGACCTTGAAGTATTTTTCACTGCTAAATGTTTTACTGCGTTTTTATAATAATTTCAGGTTTTGAAAGGGCAGTTTGCAGTTTATAAAAAGATTTCGGAGCAGATAGGCGGCGATGTGAAGGAACAGGTATTCTTAAATGTCTTGGAATACTATCTTAAAAAATTCCCACGAAATGAAGCGAAACGATTATAAATTCATAAATCATTGAAAGTTTTTCTCTAAGAATTTCCAAACGTTTGTGAAATGTTTTTTCCTTATAAATATCAAGTTATTTTTGCAAAATCGTGAGTTAAACTAACTGAAATGAGGAAAGCTTTTAACAAGTTTAAGAGTTTAAAAATTTATGAATTTTTTTGGGTGTGCGTGCGTGTGTGTTGTTTAGAAACTTTGCTCAACTCAGCGAGAACGATCTAGAACTCAACATCAAAGAATAAATTAGTCTTAAAATTCTTTTACAATTTATCTATAGAATTGAAGAAATTATACGTGCAATAGTTTATCTTGAAAATAGTTCAAATTTATTCATCAACGACTGCAGTAACAAATGTTATGCATTTCGCTTTGGCATTGTTAGTTTAAGTCCCTATTCCAATTCCTCAGCTGTTACACGTACACGGAAGCTCTCAGTAGTGTGTGAAATTTTTGGCAAAATTTTTTTAGTCCTCTATGCAGATAAAATCGTCTCAAAACTCATCAGAAATTAAGATCTTCGATTGACACAGATGTTCAAAGTCACCGAGCTACTATACTTTCATCTTCTAGTCATTGAAGATGATTTCGTATATGTTTCTATCACTTATAGTTCACGTACTATCACTTATTGATTCAACTATTTCAAATTTTTCCGCTAGTCTTAAAAAAAACTTTAACAACTTTATTAAAAGTATTCATATTTTTTTATAATTTTGGGATTGAAAACGGCGTGACAGTCATTTATAACAGACAGAACTCTTTATGTAAATTGCATTCAATTCACTGTCATTAATTAATCATGTTTAGAGTGACCTTGTGAAGCAGGCGTTAGACGCGGAGAGGGCCTTCCTTGTGACAGCCGCTGGTCGAGCGAAACCTTCTCAGGTAATATCACAGGCAACCCACTCCAAAAGAATATTTATCTTCGGAATTGCTTGAGTAACCACGAAACAATGGCCTCATGTGAAGGTTGGCGATAAATAGACCCTTTTCGAGTTCCAAATCACCGAGGCTAAGCCTCGAGCTTGTACAGAACATTCACGTTTTCTAGTCAAGGTCCGTCAAGTTTCAAACGCCGTGTTCGTATTTGTTGAGCTTGTGCATTCTTTACTTTACCGTTGGTATTTGCGAGTAATTAGACACTGATACGAGGCTTAGCCTGAGCAAACGAGTCTGTGATCAAGAAACACAGCGGTAATTTGGAACTCGAAAAGGGTCTATTGATCAAAGACAGCAAATGTATGATCACATCAAGTCTAACCTCGATTTTAAACCATATAATGTATAGTACAAAAATATGACTTAATCCACCCTTCTTAAAATTGTCTTGAATGCGAGGCTAACATGGAAATACAAAAGAAATGCCACAAATTCCATCGCTCGCATCCAATGAATACACTACTTATCACGTGGGGAAAATTACTATCCATCAGATTGCTAGCTATAGGCTAAAAATAAATAGCGCGCTGATTGGTTAAAGGCTGTGACATCGTCTTTGTAAGAAGCTGAATGCTTTTTTCGGCGGCTTGATTCAATGAATTTTAGCTGGTTGAATTCTGTTTTTATATAAGGATTATTAAGATTTACGGATATTTATTGAGAGTTGCACTCCCCTGGTATTTTCCCCTGGAATCATATAATACATTTTTACCTGTTTGCATCATCGATGTATGCGTTACAATCGTGTTTCTACTAACACTATGGCTACTCATTCCCTGATTTAGTGATTTATTGATTGTTTCATTGTCTACCTTTCATTGATCACAGGATGAGTTGACTAAAATGTTAGAAGAAACATCGAAGAAGATGAATGCTGTTGAGGTACGACTTTTACGCACTAGTCCCCCGACCCCCGACCCCCGGGACAGGGAGGGGAACGTGACGCGACCGGGGATTGATCGTAGCGCATATACAGCATGAAAGCATGAATTTTGAACAACAACATTTATAATTTGTTAATGAAAATATTTCCCCGAGGAACGGGGGAAATGCTAAATTTGGATTGTGTTACGCGGCCACCAAAAAGTTCAGGCATTGTTCGCGAATTTCCGTACAAATGTTCTCACTTTCAATGAGCTATGTATTTGGTTTGTTTAGTTAGTTCTCTAAATACAATTCTATTCATCATTTTTCTAGCTTGATTGAAGCTTTTCTTACGGCTGTTAAGAGATCCCTAACTAAAGGAATCTACCTAAATTTTCTCTTTAAAGTCAGTGAATTTGTATGGAAATCCGAGAACAATTTGTCCAAACTTTTTGGTGACCGTAACACAATTCAAGCTAGCACCGAAAAGGTGAATTGGCTAGTGCGTTATATAGTCCCGAAACCCCTTGGTTACCGTTACCATGGTTTATAATGTATCAGAATATATGTCTCCAACATTTGGAATGAACTAATAGTCCCTTTTACAGTTCCCTGCGCCATCTTGAAAGGTGGCCGTGTCTTTGCATCGAAGCTAGACGAACGGTGAGCTTACAATGATAGAGATACGTGAATATTTGTCCAAGGTGTTAAAAGGGTCTCTACCATTGCAAGCTCAAGATAGCGCAGGGAACTGTGAAAGGAAGTATTCTCCAACGTTTTACGAGGCCGCCTCGCCACCTAAGATTCAAAACCACGCATGACGCAGAATCCAAGATGGCCCCCGCGTGACAAGATTGAAATCTTTTTTTACAGGAGTTTCGCAACAAAAACCGCGGCAGTAAGCAATTCAACCACTTGTCAAGCGTCAGTGAGGGGATTGGAGCTCTTGGATGGGTCGTTGCAGTAAGTAGATTTACTTCCATTTCTATGTGTGAAGTCGAATATAAAGCGCGCAAGTTTTGTTGCAGTGCGCAATTTGAGAATCAAGGATGGTGTGGTAGTGTACTTCCCACTCACCTCTGAGATCTCGAGTTCAACGAAAATCACATATGAATTGAATTGTGCAGTGGTTCCATGTTGACTGAACTAACCCAGCGATGAAATAAATCGCAAACCACCAGTGCTTCTTTACTTTGAATTGAGAGAAGGATTAGATTATATCATCTTTTTTAACAAGGCCAAATACAATCTTTAGCCTCTTTAAACTTTTATCAAGACCCCGAAAACCTGTGGGCTGATGAAAGCCAGGGCACGGCTAGCTCACTTATCGAATTTGAATTAGCCTGTTAGGTTTTGAGGAAGGAGCAAAACAGGAGAAGCTGGATTAAAACCAATCGAATAAAGGGAGAGAATTTAAAAAATCATACTCAGATGCGAGAACGAATCCAGGAATCTTAGACTTCGTGTAGAGACGCATTTTTGGTGCTGGCGGGGGAAGAGGGGACCCAGGTCTCCTCCTCCACAGGCCCCCAGCCCACCCCTTTCCCTCTCCCCCAAGTTGGGCCAAAACGCAGCTAAGGAATCAAACTATAGTTTTCAAATGTCAGGGGCGAGTGCAATACCGCGCTACACCGCCAGTGATCCCCATTTTTAATTCCAAATGAACCCATTTTCAGCTACAATTCGGAGTAGTTTCAGATTTGATTTTTTCTCGTGTATTTTCTTCTTTCAGCCCATGAAACCCGATGCCTTCGTCAAGGAGAAAATAAATGCAGCGGAGTTCTACACAAACCGAGTCTTGAAGGATTTTAAAGACCAGTAAGATTTACTTTATCTTAACATTGAATCTTGGCTACTCGACACTTTTGATGATGATGATAATAATAATAATAATATTATTATTATTATCATTATTATYATTATTAATAATAATAATTACAAATTTTAGAAATATTATATTATTTAAATATTATTTCTAAAGTATTTCTTATGTTCTGCATTTACTAAATGAACTGATGTATATCGTCAATAATTGTTAAATTTGTAAATATTTTATTGTAGAGCATATCTAATTGTAAATAGTTTGAACACTCATAGGTTACGTTTACACGCCCTATGAGTGTCTTTGCCTCGCATCCAGATGTTTAATAAACTGCATAATAATAATGATAAGAAGAAGAAGAATATTAATAATGATGATGATGATGATGATGATATTTATTTAGACAGTATATTGATATTACAGCTCTGCTGATGTGGTCATCGATTATGGTTGAAATGATATATATTATACATTTTTAGTATAAATACACAGGTTAATATTGAAAATCTCGCGCGCTGATTGGTCGAAAAACTCAATAATCCAAAATGGCGGCCAGCCGCTTTGTTGCTGTTACCGGGAAAAAATGTCTTTTATCTTCTTTTTTCTTTCTTTTTTTCAAAGAATCACCTGTGTATTTATACTAAAACGATTATTTGCCTCAGCCTCAGTGAATATCGGGAATAATAATCTCAACTTCGTTTCGGTTATCATTCCCAGATATTCACTGAGCCTGAGGCGTTGTTAAATATTATTATACTGCATACTGGATAGTGCATTCCAAGAACGAAGTGCATTGGGGGTCATAGTGACATTGTCTAACTTTCTAAACTACTAACTTGTCTTACTAACTACATGTAGAGAGTTAATTCCTGTATGTTTACTTTTTATTTCAAATTAACGAGACTCACAATGCCCTTTGGTCTTGGAATACACTATTCAGTATGCAGTATTCAGTATTCAACCTTTTTTGAAATAGCTGTATAAATATTTATATAAGGAACATATTATTTCATTCTAGATAGATAGGGCATGTTTCATGTCGATGCGGTTCAGGTGTTCGATGGTTGAAGCAGGACGGCTCTTTCATGCCAGAACGGGAATGCGGAATCATTAGAAATTCGAAACACCGAAAGCACTGAAAACTAATAGTAATAATATTTTTTCTAGGGATGCCAAGCATGCCGATTGGGTGAAGGCATTTCTTGGTGCATTGAAAGAATTAGAAGCGTACACAAAGAAACATCACAGTGCAGCTCTGACCTGGGGAAAGTAGATAATCTACCAACTGAGGTAAATATTCTTGGTATAACACGAAATCCCTTTCGGTAGCTTTTTTGTTTTGCCAATTTTAACTAGTGTCTTGGTATTCTCAAAGGAGTTTTAACATTTGAATGTAAAAAGAGATTTTGAAAAGGATATTGTGGTGGTTGCATGAAATCCATTGTATATATTCCACGGTTTCTTCACAAGAGTCATTGCGGCCCGCTAAGTATTTTCAATGGTGTACGATCTAGGATAAAACAGTTACATAAAGTGCTTTCCCGTGGCACACCATGGAATATTCTATGCTATATCCATATCACATGCTTTTAATTCGACCCGGGTTGAGCTGCGCCAATGGTGCACACTGCGGTGGTGATTAGCGATAAGAATTCTTTTTTCATTCGATTTTTYCCCAAATTTCCCAATCAAACAAAAGAAGGTGAGAAATTCGGATTAAAATCGCATGCGCACTGAAAACGATTCATAAATTATGAACTGGATTATTTAACTCTAATATTAAGGAAGTCAATAATGAATATGTATATATATATATATATATTTTTCCATTTCATTCTCGTTTCACAGGTCCTAGAGAAAACAACGAATGAATGCTTCCAAGCCAGTACAGTATTTCATCTTCTCTTCTAGTTTTAGCATGTTGGAATTTAGCCATTACTTTCGTACCTGAAAGGCTGTTCAATTTCAAATAAATGTAGAAAATATGAATAACTTATGTCTCATTTCTTCTTTGTCCATAAAGATTGTTGAATACACAGTGTATATACTGTTTGATCCATGCTTTTTCACAATAGACCTCTTTACCTCGGGCGTAATGTTTCCCTATTTTAGACCACGTGTCATTTTCTGTTTTTAACGGTTATGCATGAGAAGACACACGAAGAGAATGAAACGGAGTCTGAAATGACACAAAATTACGTCTAAAGTAAACTATAAGAGTTTTATTACGCGACCCGAAAACATTTTTTGACTTCGGTCATTCAAAATAATAATAACTTAAGCTGCTGGAAATTTGATTGAAGGATTTTGAAATTTTTTTTTAGCTGAATGCGTTCACGTTATTACTAATACCTATATTTATTTATAAGCATTTAGAAACGTCAATCCTAAGGATATACGACAATAGGCCACGAATCCCTTACAACGGTCGTTTTCCAATAAACATTTCCAGCATGTTCGCGCGGTCAAATTTTTTTTTTAAATCACAAGAACATCTAGGTTCTGCTGCACCGCGTCACTGAATATTTTTTTAAATGAACAAAAACTAGAAAAATTTCAGCCACCGGATTGTTTACTAATACCCATAAATATTGCCATCACGTTTGCTCGGTCAAATCGCTGCACGCAACGTATCTTTCGCAAGAACATCTTGGTTCTACCGCGCCGTTGCGCGACAATGTTGAGGCTGATATGCGGTTCAGGTTTATGGTTCTGAATGGTAAACTTTATGAGCAACATGGTTTTGCCAAGAGTCTACTAGTTCGAAATGATATTGCTACGCCACTCACGGCACGAAAAATATTTTTTCTCTTTCTTTGGAATCTCGTATAATATTTTAGAATCGAGATTAGTTTTTCCGTTGCTGTACGGTCTCTCAACACAACCATAATTAAACGATTCGGGTTTGTGATAATTTCTTGGTCACATGCACACTTGAATGCGATTGGATAGTTTTAGTGGTTACCGGTAAGATTACTCGAGCTGTACTTGAAATGTAAGCCGACAAGATAAGTGCAACGCTATTGAATTTGGTCGTTGTGGGAAAAGGGGCACTTGGTGGTGAGAATTAAGTGTGCTGTGGTGAATTCAGGGATCCACACAGTAAAATCGTCATTAAATCAGTCCTTAATCCCTTAATCAATTTATTCATAAAACAAATATATTACTTTGCGCGGGAAACGCAACGGTTTTGCAGCAATGAAATTCCCAAGTACCAACCAAAATAGTGTGAGAAAGCATATTCCCAGATCAGAAGCCTGTCACTAGGAGCATCCATCTCCCATACTAGGTCTGTGAGCTAGCGTATTCCCAGATCAGGAGCCTATCACTAGGAGCATCCATCTCCCATACTAGGTCTGTGGGCCAGCGAATTCCCAGATCAGCAACCCATTACTAAGCATCCATCTCAGATACTGAGTCTGAGACCGGATTATTCCTAGAYGGGCTCCTGATCTGGGAATATGCTGGCTTAAATACCCAGTATGGGAAATGAATTCTCTTAGTAATGGGATCCTAGCCCTATTAATGTTTTTATCTAGTAAACAAACAAGCTTTCAGTTGATTTCATTATTGATACTAATACCACTGTATCTCGACCATATGCCGTAATCTTCACAGCTGTGGTTGATGTATTCTTATTTACACGCATCAAACACGCATACATAGTCCTATCCTTGATCAGTATCTTTTTAATTGAACCTCTCGTGTTTATCGAAGCTAGCAGGAACTGGTTAAACAACCCACGGACAAATAAGCTTATACTGATTGAAACCAGTTATTCTCTTTAACTATTATGTAGAAGATACATTTGGCAGATTGTACAACGAACTGCACGATTCGTGTTCAAATCTTATCACGGAACAACGAACATTAGTCAAGTATTTYAAGTTACAACAATTGTGCCGCAACTTGACGAACGGGATTCTAACGCTTGTTGACAGCGCAATCTACTCCATATTGAAAGCCTTCTTCAAAGCAATCTAACAATTAAGGTAGGAGTTTTTTAACGAGAGCTTCAAACCGTTTAAGTTAACAGAGCTCTTGAGAAAAGTTACAGCGACAGAGAAGTAACGAAATCCGAAGTTTTGAGAGGTGTTCTTCAGCTATAGACAGAGCCGAGATGAAATAAAGTTTGACTGATGCAATTGTTGAATTTAGAAGTGTCTGTAGCAGATGAATCTGCAACTGGGCTGCTAGAGAAAGGAGGAAGAACTGTTGGAACGGGAGCCATGATGAATAGATGCTCGCGTGTTATAAAAGGTAACGATATGTTTAAGCATCTGTTTGATGTTTTGACTGCTTTGCTTTTTAGTTTGTTGTGTTAAAAGTATTTGTTTATCTGTTGTTGTTAGTTCTTTAATTTGTTTATTGTTTTACGTGGCGCATTTCGGTTTAACTTTCCAAACCGCATCTTCGTCTTTCTACGCTGAGAAAAAGGAACACGAAAGACTAGACCTTTACTAAAATAAAAAAGATCAAGAGCTTCGTGCGTGCGGATGGCGTCAGCACTGTGCTCCGTTCACTAATAAAGCACAGTTTTCGACCAATCAGCGCGCGCGTACTATCCTAACTATATAATATATTTTGAAATCAAACCTAGAAACAAATGAAAACCTGCGATAAAATTCAGGTAAAAAAATTACGACTTTTAGGCTTTCTGAATCCTAGAAAAAAACTAGAAGTGGCTTAATAATATTTAAAATTTATAATTCAGAAAAACACCGTTACCGCTAAAAAAAATTATTCGTTTTTTCTTTTTCATTTTTAAGGCTCTAAAAAGATACTATTTGAAAGATTTCTAGAGAATAGTACATATTATATGTTTAACAATGATAAATATCGACTAAAGCACTACACGGGATAAGGAAGAGCATTCCTTTCCCTTTTTTAAAGCTTTAAGAAAAATTTGAAACATTTATATGAAAGTATATATTAGATATTTAACATTAGCCTGTGTAGCGGCCCTCGATAAATTGCCCTATTTCACTATGACGCTATCACTGTCACTGCTTGTTTATGTGGGGATAGAATCGCCAAATCCAATAGGAAATTCAACAAAATTTGCTCCTAGCAAAACATTTTAATCTAAAATGGTCTGGTTTTCAGATAGAATGTGTTAATATGTACTAAAAAATATTCTGAGCGTTTACTGGCTATTCTACTTCTCTTCGTGGATTGATACGGGTTTTAGAACAATTTTCGGTGAATTTGCGTTGATTTGACCCCCTCAGACAACCATGATCCTTTGCGTATAAACAATAGATTGTTTTGATGTGACGTCATAGTGAAATAGGGCAATTGTGAAGTTGGGATTTGGAGGGAAACTGGAAAGGAGGGGGGATGGGTAGGGCAAAGAAAAGGGAGAAGGGAATCCCAACCTCACGATTTATTGAGGACCGCTACGCAGGCTAATTTAACTTGCAAACATCAACCGAAACGTTGCATAGCATTATAGATTACTATCATCAAGCCCCAAGGGGAGATCTTAATATTGATCATAATGATTTTCCATTTCACTCAACATTTATGTCAGATATTTAAATACTTTTACTGGTCTGAAATGAAAAATCAACCTCACACTCCAAGCTAGAAAGACTCCTACGAAAACGCACACGATCTTTTAAAATGCGTTATCATTTCGTTCAATTTTGTTTTTTATTTCAAACCACGTGTCATTTTGTCTAACGGTATCGCACATGGCAATCACTCGGCCTATCACCTCTTGGTTCTCTGGTTGGATTCCTGGGCTCGACATCAGAGGAGTAAAGAGCCCTGACTTTGATCAGCCTCGAGAGGTTGTTCAGGGTTCGATCTGTGAGTTATCCATTCCCTGACTTTGATCAGTGCAGAAGGTTATCGATACGATTCAAAACGAGTCAAATGGTATTTATTCTCGATGTGTGCTCTTATAGTCAAGAAACAATTTAACTATGAATATAATGACGTCAAACACGTCAGAGGACTACTATACTGAAATACGTGACTTTTTTGACTATTCTTGCATTCAACATTTTATGGTATTGTAAAGTTATACCTCAAATCGTGAATATTGCATGAAGATTTTCTTGGTCGTTTCCAGACAATATGTACACTATTTGCCTTAATGAAAAATGTCCCCAGTTAGCGTGCGTGTGCATTGTGACGTCATTCTGCTTGCAATACTTATTACTATAAACCAAGGACAAAGATTCAGAACCTCTCATGAAAATGTCATATCTACTTCAAAGATAAAACTGCCAATGAAGTTATCTTAGAAAAGTAGCTGATTATGATTCAGATACCGATTGACAGAGCGGTTGAGACTTCTAGGTGTATTCTCGACTTTCATATCCCCATAATGCCTTGCGTCTTTGGGGGTAATTCCAATCAAAAAACTGTCCCAAATTGAAAGGTTTCTTAATTGAATTTATACTATACCTGCTTTTATCTGTACAATACTGATTATCAGTTTATTCCAAGTTATTTTTGCGTGTACAGATCATCAAGAGTTTTGGTCTTACAGAAAATGTATTGACTTACGAAAAAATTTTTAAAATTTACCTTAAACGTCTTCAAGCTTCTATCTTTTTCTGTTTTTTACTTCTTCATTTTATCTTTGGATACCAAACAAGGCATTTTCAACATTGTCTGATCAGCCTTCAGCAAAATAAGTGGGTTTTTACCCTCTGGTTACCCCCCAAAGACGCAAAATATTATGGGGATGTGAAAGTAGAGAATGTGCTTTTTGCATTTATCATTTATGTTAAGAGACCCCAACCCCTCCCAGAAAAATTAATAAAATCTAGAAATGAAAAGAAAAGAAATCAAGAGATATGAAAAGGAAAGGAAAAAAGAAAGAGAAAAAGAAAAAAGAAAAAAGAATAAAAAAGACGCCGCGCGCAAAGAGTGCGTCAATTGGATAACATCAATACGGTGCTTCATAGCCTGAACAGATGGTCCAACCATGTTTGCTTATCCCATCTATTATAAATATAATGGATAAAGTGATCGAAAATTAATCGTGAGAGCATAATGGGAACGGATGAAAGATGGCATGAAAACTGATTGTCAAACACCTGCTTGAGATAAAAATAATACTATCGTAACAACGACGATTCTAGACAAATCCATATGTAGAGTCACCCTTACGTTTATTCAAGTATTTCTTTCTTTTTCGTCAAGTGCTTTAATAACAAAAACGCACAAGAAATGAGTCATATTCTGTTTCGGATTTTTTATTTTTATATAGTGAGGAAAACTCTGGCATTAAATTAAAACTGTAAAGTCTTCCTCATATTTCGCAAGGCTGTAACTTTTCTTAAAGGACTATGACGCCATACGGAATGGCAATTGTAGTTTGGATGGTTAATAAAAATCACTCATAAGTTCCCTGCATGAGAAGGCAAAAACTTGTGAAAATTACCAAAGAAGAATTAGATACCTGTCGTTTTTCATTTAAAAATGCTACAAGCCACTTTAGGCGGGAAATATCTTCGAGGGTAACAATCTATTCCCAATTATCTATTCAGCTAATCCCCCTTCAAGGTAAACACGTGGGTGTGCCGCGTAAGCCAATCGTTTTTGCGATCTATTTCCGCGAATGCCTTAAAATGTTTTACGAGTACATTTGAAAATTAAAAACCATCAATTCCTTTATTCCATGTGGTATTTTCAAGTCCAAGAGTTTTGTTATTCCATGTCAGGAAACTATGAAGACCGCCTTTGTAAATCTGACTGTAAACAGATCTCGATAAAGACATATGGCAACGCCCAATTGAGTTTGGAAATCTGTTCGAATTCTACCGTTCGGCGATCGGTTAGCGAACTAGAGATACTGTGTTAGATAGACCATACAGCTTCCCTGCAGTTCTAGATAGCACGTATCAGGTTCGATGCCTGTCGATTAGAGACAATAAATTCGACTTAAATGGAACACAACACATTCAAGTCATATTTTAATCAATGTCGATAATACAGTATGAAAAACTTTACGCTACACAGACGTAATATAGGGTGTCTAGGTTCTAATTCTCATTGACGTTTTATGAGCAAAAAAAAGGTTGCCTTCATTTGATATTCAAGAACTGCGCAGTCTAGATCAGATCTCAGCTGAATATTCATAGTATATTGTAGCGTAACGCATTAATAATTGAAACTATAGCATATTTAGTGCAGAGCTTCAATAGACAATCGACCTCTGTTACTAAATGGAGCCGAATAACCCCCAAGAATCTTGCCAAGAAAATCAAACGTCGATGCAAGAGCAGCCCAGTTTCATGTCTAAGCCTAGTTTATCTACGATAACTCGTAAGCTAACGCGATTTTTGTCGACAGATCAACAACTTGCGCAAGATAAAAAGGCTCGTCTCATTGCCAAGCGAGGGAGAGTAAACATCTTGGTTTCCAATGTTCAGCGACGAAACCTTCTCTATCTCTCCGACCTATTTACTACTTTAATTGACTGTAAATGGTACTGGATATTTTTGGTTTTCTCTGCCAGTTTTCTTTCGAGTTGGCTAATTTTTGGCTCGCTCTGGTGGTTCATAACGTGGCTTCGAGATGGCCAGGAACACGGCAGCATCACCTGCGTGGAAAATGTCAACTCTTGGACTTCAGCGTTTTTGTTTTCCATCGAAACACAAACTACTATCGGTTATGGAGGAAGACAGGTAAGCAATATTGAATTCTAGGATATTGCGGAAGTGAARTGGTTCCTCAGAGGAACTTCCCCAGCTTTTGAAGGATGAAGGACCTTTTATAGCACTGACAATGAAATTCAACAAGTTGCATTTGAAAAAAAAAATTTTTTTTGAAAAATCTTAATTGAAAAATCTTAAATGTAGTTTTTAAACAGGTTTTTATATCTTTTTGGAGGAATATTTACAGCTGTTGTTGAGCTAGCTATGTTCGACAGGATGTAAGGATTTCCTAAGGCAAAGAGGTCAAACCTAATAATCAATTATCATTCGTATTTCTAGAATAACATAATCTGGCTTATGCATTTGGAACTCCCTACTCATTAGAGCACTTTCGATGTCTCCCAAAGAGCAAACCTTCAGGCATGATGCTTTCAACGCTTCTAAAAGCTCTGAATTATCAACATTCATGACCGTTTTTTAATGTCTATATTCCTACCATTTGTAAAAAAAAGATCTTCAACTGTATGGATCTCAATCGATGTAAACTATATATTCACTTCAATTCAACTTTCATTTATCGTCTTGAGCACGATCAAATCATTCTCCGTTCCTAACCTAAAAATAGCCCAGTTTCTTTTTTCCCCAAATTAAAATCTTTTCATTCGCAATTAATTATTATCCATGGCAAGCTTTCTAAAGAATATTTACAATTATAGTAGATGGAAAGAAATTACTTATGTAAATAATAGTGCAGAAGGTAATATGAAGAAGACAGCGCTGTTAATCGATTTTAATTATTTCAAAAAATAAACGTCGAAGGAAAAGCCGGAGAAAATAATTTGACGGTTATGTAAATGACTGGTTGTAAAACTCTTAATACTTACCATTCTGAATGATAATGAAGCGTTTTTAGTTTTCGGTAGAATTCTTAAAGTCTTTTAAACATGGATTCCATTTTTCTCTCGGATTGTCTAGTCTCGAAGAGGTTACTCGTGCTGACGTTATGTCGATCAAACGCAGTCGATAAACATTTTAGCACTTGTAAAATGTACTCACATTTAGATTCAGTCCCAGTTCTTCTACTTTTTAAAGTACTAAATACAAAATACATCTAATTGCAAAAACGTTGTCATTAAAAAAAAGTAATTCAGAAGATTTTTTTAAAAACTTATATACCAAGGTTATATTAAAAATGTCAGTCTATACCTGACGTTATGTCGATCAACCGCAGTCGATAAAACATTTTAGCATTAAAGTAGTGGCGAATCCGGGGGGGGGGTCGAAGGGGTCCACGGAACTCCCCTTGAAGGTCTGATTTTTTAGGTAATAGAAATATGTCTTATATAAATTTTGCTTAAAAGTTTCCACAAGGATAATGTTGAACACGAAATGATAGATATTTGCCGGGGATATTTGCTGTTATAATGTTTAATTTACCTTTAAGTTCCGTTACTAGATAGTAAATTAGGTGATTAGAGCCAATTTTTTTAGTCAAACATCGACTAAGCAAAAGAGAATTATACACAGTTTAAGAAACGGAACCCCCCTTTGAAAAATCCTGGATCCGCCACTGCAGTTCTTCTACTTTTTAAAGTGCTAAATACTAAATACATCTAATAATAAGATTTTTTTAAACTCATATACCAAGGTTATATTAAAAATGTCAGTCTATACCTACAAAAAAATAAGTGGTCAAACTCGGTCAAGGCGTGAGGAACGCTGCCTCTAGGAAGCACGTCCGATAAACACCGACGCTTGTCTCCGTCTGACAAACGGATACCACTATTATTGAGTGCATACAATATATAGTGAAAAACTTTGGAAGAAATTACACACGTTTGCACAAATTAGTAAGTTCAGTAGAACTCATAAGAATGTAGACCTAAAGAACTTTGCACTAATTTGTACAGTTTTGTTAGTAAATATTTCACGGAAATTTGAGCAAAGTATATATCCGTGAAATAGTGTGTAAAAGTGAAATGACAACAAAAGAACAAAATGGAATTATAGAGGGTCTACTTAGTTTGTATTAGTCTAGTGGGTATTTCACGGGTTTATAAAAACCACTCTACCTTTAGATAGTATAAAAAGAAATTGTCTAACAAAACGTACCTATAGCACGGTATACTACGTGGTCATGATTATATTCGTTGCAGAACACAGTCAATAGTTCAATTTATAAAAAAAATCTTCGTAATAATGATTTATTATGGTCCAAATCCTAGAGTAAAACTCAACATATTAGTATATTAGTGATCGACTGTCTGATAAAACTACAAACCAGAAGGCAAGGACAGGTTTTCAACTCCTGAAGGTCTTTTGTCTACTGAGCGTTGTTTACGTTTGACTAAGTAAAAATGCATTAGTCGTGAGAAGAGCTTTACTGATAACAGGATCCTCTGCGGTATGATGGTGTGATTACTGATTCTTTTATGATAACTTGGAGGTCTATGGTAATATGTTTTAGTGGGTTTATGCAGGGTTTTCCTATGTGGGAGGGGGGAGTCCTCGCTGACCTTAGCAAATCACTGACTCCTCACTCCTCTCTCCCACAATACAACAATTTAACTGACAATGAAAAGGACTGCTTACATTGGTGGTTCTTGAGACCAGCTAAAGTGCAAATCGATGAATTACTTTAGGCTTAATGTTTTCTAGTTTCAAACCACGTGTTATTCTCTTGAGAATAAGAGGTCCTTTGTTTGAGTTGTGTCTGTATTCAAGGGTTTTTTCAGTTTTCCTCCCAACGCAAAAATCAACTTCTAAAATTCAATACACCGAAGCCGTATTCATTTTTCTACCTCCCTAGTTACTATTGCTACGTCGGACAAGCTAAAATGTGTTTTTGATATACAGCATGGAACAGACACTGATTGAGAAAATTGTAAATGTCTGTCTTAGAAACAATGCATTCTAAAGGTAAATTAAGAAGAAAATCGATGACTACTTTGTCAATTGTAACGTTTTTCATTTCCYTGAGGATGGCCGAGTAGGCCGAAAGCTCGGAACATATTTATTAAATCTATGGTTGATAAGACAAATTATTATGAATGTAACAACGACCAACAAGGAACTATTTGATTTAACTATTAAAACATCTTATGAACTCGAGTTTGTTGGTCGGATATTCTGTATCCCATTGGTAAAACTACACATTGCTTGGATGGACACTCAGTGGACGAATAGCTCCCATTTATGCTCGTGTCTTTTCATGCGCAACCATTAAACAAAGAATTGATGCTCAAGGGAATAACGTCAAGGGCGGATCCAGCCAAAATTGGGGGGGGGGGGGGGGTGGCTAATCGAGTTTCTTCCGAAAACAATAAAAAAGCATATAACGTGTGGTATAACGTGATAACATTACACCCAGGGTAATAGCACTTAAGTATTAAGGCGTATTAGTGCTTGGATAAATATCTTTATTAAAGATATAAATTACGTCTCTACAAGCTTGAAGAAATATCTTTAGTAATATCACTTGTTTTGAACCTGAATTTTTTTATATGTTTATACATACTTCGTGCATGGCCAGAAAAGCGTAAACCTTGATCATCCATTTCCTTTTTCTATAGATAACCACAGATTGTCCAGAAGGCATTCTATGCCTTTTGATCCAGTCTCTCACCGGTCTCAGCCTCTCAGCTTCTCTAGTCGGGCTCATATTTGCCAAGATATCCCGACCACGCCCTCGTTCGCAGACCGTGGTGTTCTCAAAACACGCGGTGATCGCCTTGAGAAACAACGCCATGACTCTTTCATTCCGAGTGGGTGACATCCGTAAGAGCCAACTTCTGGAAGTGACGGTGAAGCTCCACCTTTTTCGGTACCAGAATAAGCGAGACAACGAGAAAGTACTCCTTGATCAGATCGAGCTTCCTCTGAAGATCAGTCCAGGAAGTGAGCCAGATTACGAAGTGCGACCATTCTTCTTAACTCCTTTAACAGTCAGTCACGTCATTGATGAAAAAAGCCCCTTCTACGAGTTAAGCGCTAAGGATGTACGTGATGCGGACCTGGAATTAGTGGCAGTCTTAGAAGGCGTCGTGGAGGCAACAGGAATGGTGACACAAGCAAGGACGTCTTACCTTCCTCACGAGATACTCTGGGGACACGAGTTCTGTCCGTTGTCAATCCATACGGGCCTAGCCAATAATCGAGTGCATTTGGACTTTTCCTGCTTCGATAAAACGTATCCAGTGATTGGAAATCCTAAATGCTCGGCAAAAGAATCTCAAGAAAAGAACGAATCTCTTTACATGGCCTCGAACGGACTTGATACATTCGTGCCTGGTAAGGAACGAGCTAGCTAATGATGTACTGCCAGTTAAATGATAGAGTGAGTAATGCAGAGGCGGTACGTTGACCTCAGGCTTTCCTATGTTTTATATTCAAGACTGAAATGTTTTCTAACTCCTTTATTCTACATTATGTATATTCCTATAGTGGACGTATTGACTAGTAAACAGGCAGATAGATAACCCATACACGGCAGACAGACAGTCGGTGGACGGCAGACAGACAGTCGGTGGACGGCAGACAGAAATACAGACAGACAGTCGATATAAAGGTATCCAGACATTCGGTAGACGGCAGACAGACTGTCGATTGAAGGCAGGCAGACAGACGGTCGGTAGACGAACGTGGGTCACGCAAAATGAAATTAAGTGGTCGAACTTCAGGAGTAAGTCCGACAAATTGGTTGGTGAAAATGAAAATGAAAAGAATAGGAAAGAAGAGAATGTCACGACAAACCTATCGCTTAGCAACCGGTTAGTTTAGTAGAATTTTCAACCTTTTTTATACTAGACAACCTACAAATCACGTGTAAAAGATAAGCCTGTAAGTATTCACCCTTCAGGCGTTTCAAGAGAATTTTCTTGGGGTACAACCACGACTCAAAATCCCTTGAGATGCTAAATAACAATGAAACAGCAGCCATGAAGTAAACCAGTGCAGATAATGGGTAATGGAAAGGGATAGCTGAGTGAGGGAGTGAGTGAAAATGAAGTGAAC